TTTTTATCGATATTGTATAAAATTTTGGGTGAAGCCATCTGTAGTCTTTAGTGAGGACAGAGATGCATTCTTAAAACCGAGGCACAAATTCATATCCCAGTGATTTTGAATTACTCATATGAGCAGCCTCCCTATACTTTAGTGATGACAATACTACCACCTCTCCTGGATTTATATTCTGTTCCCATAGCAATTTACATTACCTGTTGACTTTCTCCTTTGAAGCTCACACATTACTCTAAAGGTTATAGAGATTTTAGGAAGCCCCTCTTCCATTAGACATGTGTTCCCTCAGATGTTACATTTTCCAGAGGCTGATTTTTCAACATTAATAAGCATTGGAATATGGTACACTTCTGGCTGTAATACTTAAAAATGATCTGCTGCACTTCCAAGAGAGGCTCCAAAATGTAATACCAGTATTCTGTGGCATCTGAAAAATCTGAATTTTGAGCTTCCTTCTTCGAGCTCTTGGCAGCAGTGCTGGGGTTACCTGGTGTAGTAGGTGTTGCCCAGGGCTGGCTCTGTGAGCACTGCAAGAGTGGGGTTAGGGAGAAGCAGATGATTCCTGTCCTCCCTTGTCAATGGCATCACTATCTGATTTAATCCTCCTGCCTGAGGAAGAGGAAGGAAGGTGTGCTAATACAATCTTATCTCAAGCTTTTCCTCTATAAATTACACCACCATGAGGTGTTTTGAGGAGGATGTTTGGAACTTCACAGGCAAATCTTAGTAATAAAGCCATTGTTCGTGATTTAACAATTCAGAGTACTCCAATTCTGGTGCAGGCTGGATCAAGCTACCCCAGCTGGCTGGCTGGTTCTTATAGGCTGTCTATTTGACAGTCCTGCTTCTAAAAATATCCCAAGTTGGATTTACAACACTGACCTCCCTGATAAATAATCCTTTACTATCGCTCTCCCACTCACACAGAACATGTCTGCAGTTAAAGAAATGGCAGTAGCAAGAGGAGACTGGTGTTTCAGAAGTTACAGCTTCTCCCTTTTGTCTTAATTTTCTTGTATTTTTGTGTTGACTTTCTCAGCAGTTTTTAGCAGCAGCAAAAGTAAATCTGAGTTTCAAACTGTGTGTACAGCAATACATGTTCATTTATTCAGATCCTGTTCTCACTTTCATTTTAATTCTTCTGTAGCAAATGAAATAATTGTGTGTTTATAAATGGCCATGAGTTTTTGGAAGGGTAGGCAAAGTAGAACCATATATTTTTTCATGTGTTGTGGACTATGGTTTCTTGTTTGAAAGTCTCCAGCCACTGTGTTTATGAAGAGTGCATAACCCCAAATAATTAAGCTCCTTGACTTTCTGCCTTGGCACTGATAAGGCTGCCACAATGCACAGTCCCAAATTGATTGGAGGTCTCCTGCAGCACATTTTTCATTTTTATGCTTAGGAATAAAAATTGACCATAAAAGTTTTTTATGACTTTTCCACATGGTAAAGTTAAAGGGTCCCATTTTCACCATGAACCTTTTGGAGGCTGTTACCTTTTCATTTTAACAAGGTAGACAGTGCCTGAGCTACAGCACTCAGGCCAGTTCTGCTGTTTGAATGGAAACCAGGCTTTTTCATTAAATGATACAGACTCTGAAGCATGAAAACCTGTTTTGCATAGAGGCATTATGCAGCAGACACAAATGATTGGTGTCTTAGTTGGAGACTTGGCCTAAGCCAAGATTTTTTAAAATCATTATAATACAGAAGGATGCTCATGCAAATAGGGAATTAAACTCACTCGAGCCCATATCATAGGGACAAGTAAATACTCCATTTATTTATTTAAGCATTCCAAAGCCTGCCTGCCTTTCCATGTTACCAGTGCCAAATATATTGATAATCTGATACACAGTTTTGAAGCCCTTAAAGTCAGACTATTTAAATATTAGTTCAATTATTCTGTCTACTGAAGTGATAATTGGGGGCTAAAAGATAACCAGATTATTGTAGAGATCTCTCTTGACAGCCTTTAACACCTAGTTATAAGCTAAAGCCTGGAAATTACAAGCCTCTCGATATCATTCAGTCCACAGTACATTCTGAAGCAATTTGCTATTTCTAGGCTGTTCTTCATGCCATCATACCACTCCAGTGCTCTCCAGCTTGCTCTGAGTGCCTGCCCACTTGCAGAACTAGGCATAAAGGTCCCTAAAATAAACTTCTTTCTCAGTGTGGACATCAGGTAGGATTTTCAGATGTGTAAAGAACATTGCAGCTGCTTCAAGGTGGATTTGGGCTATTTAAAGGCTTCTGCTTTGTCTGGACTTGGATTTAATTTAGGCCTGAGCCAATCTCAGTCTCACAGTGCTGGGAGAGAGAGGTGCTTGCCCTATCCCCTGCCCTCTCCCCAGGCACCCCTGTCTCTCTGGAGCATCCTGATATGACTTGGAAAGCTCAGTGAAAATGAGGGGAGAGACATGGATGGGAATGGAGGAAAGGAGCAGCAGAAATAATTCTGATTGTGATCTACTGGAATAGATTGCTCTTCTTGGGTAACTTGGGAATTGTTTCCTCAGTGAAACAGAGGTTTCTGGAAAGCCCACAGAGGGTTTATCTGACGCAGCAGTAATGGGGTAGTGCCCTGGAAACTCAGTCTGCAATTTGCAGTCACACAGTTCTGTCCTGCAATGATTTTTCCCTTGTTCCTAAAGCCTATGCCAGCAAATATTCCTTGCTGTTCTTACCTGCACAAGCTAAATTTGACTAATAAACCTAGGAAGTTATTTTTCTTTATCCCATCTCCACTGACAGCATTATCCAAGGCAGGACTGAATAGTAACTAGCAGCAAGCCCTGAAAGCACCTGTGACACCACAAAGACACTCTCCCAGGAAGTCACTTGGTTTGTTTACAGCTTTCCCCCTCGCATTGCTGGGAGATATAGATGTTATATCCCCCAGTGCTGAAAGCTTGTGGAAGATCACTCATTTATACAGGCAACACTTGTATGGGTGGATGGACACTCAACTCCATCAGGTTCCCTTCCTTGGAAATCTGCAACCATTGATTTGCATCTGGGCTTGTACTTTGGCAGTGTGTTCTAGAAGTAAGACTTAACTGTGCAGGTGTAGGCTTGAATTAGTAATTAATGCTTGACCTTGCTGGAGCTCATCTGTCCACCTGCCCAAAAAAGCTTTTGAAACCTTGAAAAACACAACCTCAAAGGACAGAATTCATCTCAGTATCTGAAAGGGAGTCCTTGAATCTCAACTCCTCTGTCTGCTGTTTGTGCTCTGTTGTCAAGGGAAATGCATCTGCACAGAGTGATTTGTCCTGTCTTAAGAGACCCAGCTCTGGATATCAGCACTGATTAATCCTCCAAAAGTATTGAGCTCATCTATTCACTGTGGGAGGATTCAGACAACAAGATGAATCCTGCACACACTGCAGATCCAGCTGTGCCTGACAGACTGACAGCACTTTCCACTTTCTGCTTTTATTAAGAAATGTTGAAGTCTCTGTTAGAAAACAACAAATATTAATAGTACTTCAGAACTCTTACTTTCAAAACTGGGAGAGCCTAGCTAACAGCAATTAGTGTTGCCAAGCAATGCTTTACATTTTGTATTGTGATAGTATAGGACTGATGAATTAAAAACTTAAAAATTCTTTTAAAAGCATCTGAAATGGTGGTGATACATCACAGGTGCCATGGTATGTTTCAACTTGATTTTTGCTTTCATGTTCAGTCAACTTTTTTTTGTTTGAATATTGCTCTTCTGTATCTGAACGGCAAAGACCTTGTTTACTACAGCTTCCTTTACTTTCAGTGTTTAAAGGAGCAATACATGATGATTCACTTACAGAATTTAACAAAGGCAACCAAAATCAGTTATGTAATACATTAGTAATTTTACAAAAAAACTGCCACAGGCTATATGTAGCTTATAAAACAAAGCCAATGATTACCATCAATTATAGCATCATCGTGCAGCAATTAATGTCTTACTCTTAAATAACTGCTATTCCTCAGTGCTAAAGAAAATACCACACATTAACTGACTCATCATCAGTCTGTGATGCATAGTACAGCTGTTAATTTGATTACTCATCTCTGAGAAAAGAAGTGCTTTACAATGAAAAAGCTGTTCTTTTTTGGTATTCTGAAAGAATGGTAACAGATTGGCTTTAAAAATAATCCCTACATTAACACAGAGTTATTGTGAAGCATTATTTTGAGTTGTAGAGTTGGATGCTGTGTAGTTCACAGCCATGGCCCAAGCTGGATGTTGGTACTGCAAACCTCACCCATCTCTTTTGTGTGAAAATAAGAAAGAAAATATAGGAACGTTCCCTATATAAGGAAAATGGAAAGATCCCACTTTGTTTGTCCCAGAAAGTCTGCAAACTTTATTGCACATCTTGAAAAAGTGCTCAATCTAAGCCACTAAAATTTATCCACCAAGAATACTGGGCCATTCTGGAATAGGTATCAGGATCAAGAAATTATGGTCTTTCCTGGAACAGGAAATATGTGTTATAGATGTGTATTTAACATACACCATGAATATTCTGCCAGAGACTACATGTTAACTTTATTTCTTGAGCAGAATTCTGTGGACTCATCTTCAGAATCAAGTATCACCTTGTTTGTGCATGAATCACAGGCAGAATGGTACAATGTAAAGTTTTACAGATCAGTGAGAGGCAAAAGTAGCACCTCTATAGGAATTTGAACCACTTCCAGCATTACTTTGTAGTTAACCTCTTACAAGAGACAAAAAGGCCCCATCCAAAGAGACCTGATTACTCTGTAAGTAGCAAGATGAGGATAGAGGGTGTCTCTATATACAATAAACATGGCAGTATCATTTGTAGATGTGAGTAACAAAATTAGCATTGCTTGGTTAAAAAAGGAAAAAATAACCCCTTGATTTTCAGACTGGCTACAGGAAAAAAAAATTTACAGATTAACTTGCAAATACCTTCAGGCAGAAATAAGAGCTGGGTAATTCCTAGTGGTACCACTCCCCCACTGTGACATACCTCCCCAGAGAAGGCCTGGCCATTGAGGAGGTGCTCTGATCCCTGGCTGTCCTCGCTGCCAAAGTGTAACCTGATTTCCTCCAGGCGGTGGCTGTAGGTCATTGGGCCCCCGGAGATGTTCACCAGGTGCTCCTTGTCTAACCGCAGGGACACGTGTCTCCCTGTGTTGTACATCGTCCCACTGACCTAAACCAAAGGGAGAAGAGAGGAAAAAAAACGAAAAAAAAGGATTTTTTTTTTCAAAGTAATCTGCAAATCTTATAAACTGTTTGGAGATTTTGCTCTTTACACACCTTCACTCAAATACAGCAACATGTCTTGTGGTTGTGAAATGAAATAACCAATCTCAGGTCACACTTCAATTTCTGCTTTGAACCTTACACTGTGTATTCAAATGTTTTGCTAAAGCCCTATATACACATTTTAGCCTTGGGCTCACATGATGAACAGGACTGTTGCACTTCTAATTAAGTAGGTTTTTAGAGTACTTTTCATGCCAGGTCTGAATAATGGCTTCATTTCAAAATTTCTGTACTGGAAATGGGAACATTTCAGCGGACATAAATTATTAAAGTACACTTGAACAAATTTGAAATTTAATTCTTTGTTTTGTTATAAATATTTTAGGTGTACAACTGCCAGATCTTTTAGCCAGAGAAGTGCTGAATTAATTCCAATTTGATTATATATGTTTAGTTCCTACTACACATCAAATAGCTCCTTGACATTCATCTTTATTTTTAAAAAGGCTGAATGTTGCGCTTCATTTGCAAACTGATTTACAGCTCCTGTGATGAAAAAGAAAATGATTGGACATTTTTGATATGGAATATAATTCTGTCATGATTTCCACTGTCTTAGAAAAAGCTTCTGGACAAGAAGTTCTTTAATTTATGCCATTAGAAAGTCAAATATGCCAGTTTGAACTGAAGTAGAATTATGATTTATTTTAAAACATTCTGCATGGATACTGATGTACACTTGAATAACATTAGCTTAAGAAGTAGAAGTTGTTGCTACAATATGCTTTGTTGCACTTCAATTTAAAATTAGACATGACTATTATGAATTATATCCTATACCACATCAGTACTATGGTAATTAACATTGCTGCAGTGTCATTTTATCTATAATACTAATTACTGAGTTTAAATGACCTGTTTTCATGTACAGTATGTTGTAAAAAGTTACACTGAACAGACTGTGCACTAGAACTAAATGGAGGAGATTAAACAGCTTTTGATTGTTCTGGTTCTTTACACTTTGATACAGATGTTCTACTTTTTTCTGGTATTTATTCCAATCTAAAATAAGCAGTAATAAATTTCTTATTAAAAGTCATAATAGCAGATATTTCTGTTCACTGAAAATAAACCACAATGACTTTAAAAATGCTTCTTACTTTTTCTACTTGACTTTGAATGCATAATAATTAAATACCAAGTTTAGCTTAATAAGTGGAAGAAGGTCAGTTTATTGAACTTGGTTTCAGTACACTGCATATAAATGACACAAAATTGCTAATCATAAGTAACAAATGTAGTTAAAAAACAAACAGAGGAAAATGGTTAAAGCCTCTTATTCACATTTGGAAGCTCATGCTTCACTGAACCCTCAGTTAAATTCAGCAGCTATGCAAAATATTCAGAATCCAATTTCTTACTTAAATTGGCATAAATCTCAAATGAGGTTACCATTATTTTCTCTATTTTAGTAAAACTCACCCAAATAACCTCTAATGTGAATCAAATCAGTCTCCACAGAACAGACAGGGGAAATGATAAGAGGCAAATTCATGAACAGGAGTAACATTTGTCTTTCTTACTTTCCCCTTCATAAAAATGCTCACAATGACATGGTATTGACTTTTTGGAACCAGAATTTTCCTGCATAGCTGCAGACTACGAGAATAAGAAACCAGAATAAAACCTCCAGAAACCTTTCCTCCCCCTACCCAACTTTTCCCAAGTGACAACATAGAGACAAAATGTGATGTTAAAACAGTACCAACTGTCCAACAGTCTTTACATCAGTCTTTGTAGGGAGAGGAGTTCTCTCTTGTCATTCCATGGAGAGTTCTCCAGAAGAAACAGTTCTCTCGTGGCTTTTCATTTCTACGAATAGCAGCCACCCGGGAACAAATTCTGCCATCCTGACATCTCTTCCTATTTTCACAACCCTCTTAGATGTGTCCATGGGCCATGAACTCAAGGGGTATTATTTTAAGGATGTGTTATTCAAAGGCAAAGGTTCTTCATCAGCTCTCATCCCTCTCTCTCTCTCTCTCTCGCTCTCTGTTCAAGTGTCTCATGGGATCACAGCTTCTCCACCATCTGCTTAGCTTCATCAATGGATACTTTGCTCAGATCTACAGCTTGAATACTTCATTCCCCCAATACTCTTTCATGAATTAAAGGAGATTTATTGTCCATCTCTATGGCCTAATCAAAAGAATATTTTAGCCTATTACAGTGTCTCCTCATTCTCCTTCCATCTGAGGCTTGACTCCTTCTTTTACTGACATTGATGTTTCATGTTGTCTTTCTATGTGTCGATTACTCTTTTTCTCTTCCTGGGGGGAAAAAAGATCTGCATGGGTCTGCAGATCTCATCTGTGTAATGAAAGTGTTAAATCTCTTGTCCAGTTTTGTGGATGGTTAGGTGATCTCTGCCAGGGCTGCAGCTTGATGGCTTCCCCTTCCCTGCCCAGAACTTTCTGGTAAAACTCAGCAGCAGCAGAATTTCAGCCGAGCTGAGGCTGGCCTGGCCCAGCAACACCAGAAAGGGCTTGCTGGGCTCTCCAGGAGGGCTCAGCCACCTGGGAAGGGTCTTTGGCCACCCCACCAGAACAGGACCTGGAGGGCTTCCCAGAAGGGCCCACAGCAGAGCCCGGCCTGGGGCTGCTCCCCTCAGTGTCCATCCCCTGCCCTGGGGCTGCTCCCCTCAGTGTCCGTCCCCTGCCCTGGGGCTGCTCCCCTCAGTGTCCGTCCCCTGCCCTGGGGCTGCTCCCCTCAGTGTCCATCCCCTGCCCGGGAGCTGCTGGGGCCCGGCCCAGCCTCCCCCTCAGGCCGCACAGGCCACACCAGGCCTCTGCTACCTTTCAAGGCCAGAAAGAAAGAGAGAGAAGTTCCCAGGCTTGGGTTTTTAAAAAGTGATATTCACAGAGGCAGACATACTTTTCAGTGGTGCTGTTCTCAGAACTGCCCAGCATTTGGCCCATCTCAAGCACAGAAGAAATTCCCAGCAGCTCCTCTCAAAGAAATCACTTCTGTGTGTGGCTCTTACTGCTTTCCCTAAATGTCAAACTACCACAAGAAGTTAACAAGTAAATATTTTCTGCATTTTGTACATTACCTTGCAAAGTAAACAGTATGGAGAATGGCCACCTTATGGGAAAGATGTTGCCTTTTCCTGGTACAGTCAACTCCAGAAAGCTCAGTATTTTTTTTTATATGTGGACTGGATAAAATGTTATAGGGTAGTTTAAAAGGCTCATATAAAAGCCTGTTAAGATCTACACAACTATTTCCTTAATTTGTCAGATGGATTTCAGGTGCTTCAGCATAGTGGACTTTGTGCTGACTCTTGCTCTGCTTTGTTCTCTGTGTGTTTGACTTGAAAGTTACACAAAGATAAAAACTTAGCAAACAAACCTGGGGAAGCAATAAGCACTAAATCTTGACCTCTTCTTTTTAGGAAAGATCAATATTCACATTTATCTTATGTGCTAGAAATGAGACTGAAGGAGAGAAAACATATTTAATCATCCATAAAGCTGGTCTGAGAAAACAGAGAAGTCCAAAATAATCCAAGTTAATGATCAGGCCACAATCTCAGTTGACCTCATTTTCCTCACAGATTTAGAAACATTTCCAAACAGGTAATATTACCCGTGGCAAAATCCCCAAGTAGAAGAGAGCACTCTCATGGGCTTCAATCTTAATTATGGAGCATTTCAACTTTGGTAGGCTTTAATTAATTTATTAGCATATTCTTGATGTACTTATTTTCTATTTAATCTCATTACTTTTAATTCTTGCTTTGCAGAGCTTTGTGCACATAATTCTCCAGCAGCATTTTTCTCTCTCTTCATCTTAATGCAAGGGTATAGTTGGCTGGTATATTCCATTCTTCATTTCTCAGTAACATCTGGATATCCTATGGTAGCTCTGTATAACTTGGCCCTGCGACCATAAAAAAAGTCCCAGTTCTGCTCTTTGAAAGGTGGAACATAAGGAAAGTGAGTAAAAATGCACACCCAAGAAACACAATCTCTTTGCTGTATGTTTATCTTGAAATGCTACAGACTTTATGATTGGTAGGAAAAACCCCACAATAATAAACTCACTCAGCAAAATCCCTAAACCAAACCAAAAAAGCCACATGAAAACCAGTCCAGAAATATTTTTTTTCCCCCCCCCAGTGGTACTCTTTAACCCAGCATCTGTGGAAACATTTTTGTTTTGTCCCAGCTATGTATCTTGTTCCATTTGTCTTTTCTTCCACAAACAGTCCTGGACAAAATACTTTTCAGAACTTCCTTTGTTAAAATAGCTATTAAAACCCTGAGTAGGAGAAAAATAAGCCTGTTTCAGGGTGAAGCCATGCTAGAAATGTGAGCAGGGAATGCAAGAGGAATGGGGATGGATACCTTTCAATTCCATGCTACATCTGCAGTTCACTGTCACCTTCAAGGGGTGACACAGACCCTCTGCTTCCTGGGGCCTTTACAAATAGTGAAATAGTACATTTTGGATTTATTTAAGTTAAAAGTGGGCTGAAGATTAGTTCAAATAACTTTTTAAAACTTGTATCTTGAACCTGCCATTGGAGCAGCACTGAATATAATGGAGCAGGAAAATCAATTGTGTATGGCTGCCTGCTCTGGTGTCCTTGGATCTTATCTGCAAGATTAGATGTTCCTTTCTTTAGGATGAAAATAGATACAGTCCAAAGAAGGCCTAGTGCCTTGGAGGGAAACAAATCACCAAGGTTTGAGTTGTGTTTTGAAGGAGTTATATACCCTGGTTTTATGTGCTGCAATAACCAGTTTTTGATCATCTGCTGTCAAGCTTTTCCATCCTTTCCTCCTGGAGTCCCATGTTCCAGCAGAATAGGAAAGAAGCTCTGCAGGCTTTGGGAGGGGTGGGAATTGTGGGCAGTACCTGAAACCACTCTGCCATTAC